GCACGAAGTCGGACCCTGCGACTCCAGGCGCTGTGCCGTACATGTCGTCCATGTGCAGCTCCACCAGACATGGGAGCTCGGCATGCCAGGAGAACTGGGGCGCGGCTGGCGACCGCTCGAAACCCCTGGCCATGAGCTGCTCCGCTTCGAACTCGACCCAGTGCTTCCCTTCAGCATGCCGTCCTGGCAACTGCTTCGCGAGCTGCCAAACGTAGTCCTCAGTGTCGCCCTTCGCGCGGCACTCTTCCAGGATTTCGGGTGGGCACTCGACCCACGCGTCCTCCTCCTCGGGGACATGGTAGTACGCGTCCTCCGCGTCAGCGGTGAAGGTGGGCCATCCGTGCTTCAAAGCCACGTCGTCCACCACTCGGCTGTCGGCCATGCTGCTCCCTGGCGCGAAGAGGTCGTCGCGGTACTCCTGCCACTTGAACTCTCGCGCGACGTACCTTGACTTAGCGATCCTGCATCCGAGGTTCGCGTCCCACTTGTAGACATGGTCCCAGCGGGCGCTGATCCTCTTGCCGGCGGCCTCGCTCCGTTTGACGAGCTTGCCCACCCCGTGCTGCTTCAGGCCGTCGAGGGCCCGTTTGGTGGAAGCCTCGATCAACTGCGAGTCCGACGCATCGTGGGGATCAGGGACGTCCATGTCCCTGAGGATCTGCAGGGAGTCAGGCCGAACGTCATCACAGTAGTCAGCTGCTACTCCGCTAACTCGGGACCTCGCAAGAGTGCCTCGGTTGTCACCCTCCTCCGCGGGTCGCTTCGGCGATCGACCTATCGGGGGCGCCAGCGGAGGTGCACTCGCTGGTGCAGCGGCCCTCGGCGTCATGGGGGTGTCGTCCCCAGCGCCGCCTCCAGCCGACTTCTGTGTCGCTGGCTCCGCCTGCCTGTCCCTAGCGGGCGCCCCGGCGTCGCCCGACGCATCGGCCGAGGGCGCCGCCATGGGCGCGCCCGTCTGGGATGCTGGCCCGCCGCCATGGGCGGCCCCAGTGGACTGGGCAGCAGTGTTCGGGCCTGGCGGTGCCTCAGCTGCCTCTTGCGCCGCCAGGTCGGCGTCCGCAGCGGCCGGGGGGCGCAACGATCGGCTCGATCCCGCGTTCGGGGCCGTGCCCTGCCCTCGGCGTTGCCATGGCACGTGCGTGATCGCCGCCGCGGCGGTGCGGTTGAACCTCAGCTTTTCGGGCAGCCTCTTGACGGTCCTCGTCGTGACCAACTCACCCGTCTCGAGAGCGCATATGTGCTCGTCGGTGTCGTAGCCCTTCCCTAGCCAGACCGCCCTCGCGAAGCCTATGTCACCCTTGTGGTACACCTTGCCTCTCGCCCTGCGATTCTCGCCCCTGGGTAGGCGCGCCAGGACGGACTCCCCTGGGGTGGCCATCTCCCCGGTATAGCAGTGGCCGTAGAGGTCCTCATGTGCTGTGCGACCGCTCGCCTTGATCCTCAGGTTGGTGCATACCCAGCCCGCGTGACGCTGCAACCACTTGTACATGGCCGTGCCTGGTCGGTCCCTGGCCCCCAGTCGTGCCTCCAGCGCGCTCCTGCTCGTGCGGAACTGCGCCTCGATGGTGCCATTGGCATTATCGGAGGGGTTCGATTGGGAGCTGAACGCAGGTGCGGGTCTCACGACCACACGGTTGGGCAGCTCCGCCTCGACCTTGTTGACCAGGTCCATCATGACGTCCTCGCGGTCTGGTCTTAGGATGACCTTCTGATAGAAAAGGCCCTAGATGAACGCCGCCGTGGCTGCCGCCGTGTAGGGGTCAGCGCTTCGGTCAGGCTTCGGGACGCCCCGCATGGCACCTGCGTCGGCATCCGCGACCACCAGTACCACTTCCTCGTCCTGTCTCTGGCCATCCTCGGCGCGGGGGCCCGCCTCCACGGCGTCGGCCGCCTCGCTCTTGAAGAATGCCAGGTCAAGCCCGATCACGGGGAGGCGTTCCACCTCCGCGTCTAGCAACTCGTGGGGCCTGTCACGCCCACGACCCATCTGACAGTGCTCACACCAGCGCCGCGGTGGGCAGTGCTGGTTCTCCTCGTGGCGCTGTCTCCCCTCTGGCGTCGGCTCGCAGACGTCGGGGAACGTGGTCGGTTCCGCCGCCTGTCCCGACTCCGCCTGACGCCCCATCTCCTCGCGCCTCAGCTCGCGGAAATCATCCGTCGCCGCCCTCACTTTGCGTCTGCCCTCGTACTCGACGAGCCGTGCCCAGCGCTGAGCCCTGGTCCCGTAGCACGGGCCGCAGATCTCCTTGCGGCGCCTCTGCATGGCGTCGACCCTCGAGCTCGGTCCAAGCCCCTCGAGGTATGACCGCCCCGGCGGCTGTGCCGCCGCGGGTGCCTCCTGACCCTGGGCGGGCGCCGCCGCCTCCTGCGCCCTGGGTGGCGCCGCAGCCTCCTGCGCCTGCGGTGGCGCAGCTCCTGCCCCTGGTGGTGCTGGGTCACGCGACCCTCGAGCTTCTGGGTGCGGCGGAGGACGCCCTCCTCGCGCCGTCCCCCACGGAGCCCCTGTGGCCCCAGCTGCGGCGACCCTGGCGGGGCAGGCTGCGAGCTTGGCGTCGTCCATCGCGTCGTGGATCTGCGCAGCGAAGTAGAACGTGCTGCCAGCTAGTTTCATGTCCGCCCGTTCGCCCGTCTTGAGGTTCGCGGCGTGCGGGCCACCTTCTTCGAGGACAAACCTGAACTGCTTGCGTGCCAGCTTCCCGAGGCTGAGCACCGCGTCCTGAGGGGCGAGGTCGTTACTCACTCTGAGGTTCCCCAAGCATGGCTGGTGACCCTTCTCGCCACCGACGACAATCGGGATCCTACGGGGCCCCTCGGTGCGAAGCCTCCGGCCGCTCACCGTGGTGAGCTTGGGCGCAGTGGGGTCCCCCAGAACCGTCGGATGCTGTGCTCCGAACGCCTGGCCGCAGAGGTGCTCGTCGCTGCCACTGTCTGCGAGGATGAGCCCTCTGCGCTCCTCCCTGCGGCAGCCTCCGACCGAGCTCGTGACTCCAAAGACCCAACCGACCTCGTCGCCGTCGGAGCCCGCGGCCACCGCGCTCACAGTCCTTTGGCCCTCAGCGCCTGCAGGGGCCTGCTGGACTGCGGCCGCCTTCGGGGGCGCTGCTGACGGTGCCCGTGGCTTGCCAGCCGCCTTGTGCCAGCAGTCTTTCTCCTTGTGCCCTTGCTTCTGGCACCAGTTGCAGGTTCCCTCGAACTTGGCGGGGAACCTGCCATTGAGCTTGTCATTCTTGATTCCCTTCGTGCTGCCTTTGCCGCCCTTGTCGCCCTTGCCGCCCATCTTGTCACCCTTGCCGCCTCTCGACTTGGCGCCCTTGCGCTTGGGCCAAGGCTGTTGCGGCAGGGCATGGCCCGAGATCGCACCGATCTCCATCGACGCCACGCTTTGGTCCACCGTGCCGCTAGCTGCGAAGACCTGTTCAGACGCCATCCACTCTCTCAGGTGGGTCCTCAGCGCCACGTGCGAGACCTTGGCGGCCGTCGGAGCGTTGCGTAGCACGGTCTTGTACTGCTCGGGGCTATGGACGAGCAGCGTGGCGATGCGAAACTCATCGCCGAAGTCCTTCCCCGCCTGCATGACGTACCTCGCCACGTCGTTGTCCCAGTCAACGAGCTGATCAGCGAACGGCTTCTGGTCATCCCACCTGGGGTTGAGCAGGCCGCTGAGCATGGTCGCGAACCTGTTGCCCACCCCAGGCTCGTACTCGTTCTTGATCGCCCGCCAGGCAACGAAACCCTCGTGCCTGCCCGCAAGCGTGACCATCGCCAGCGCCTTGCGCTGCGTCTTGGTGATCAGCATCGCATGCAGCAGCCTGCTCGTCGCTGCCGCGCGCTCGCCCATGCTGACGTTGTCCACCGCGAGCGCTGGCTGGGCCTCAACGTTGTCGCTGAGGTCATCCCAGCCCATCAACGCGAAGAACGCGTGGGCCTTGATGGACCAGCTGGGCCAGTCCTCATCGCTGCCACTGAACTCTGGCAGCTTGATGTCGCCTCTGCAATCCACCAGCTGCTCTCTGGGCGCCGCTGCCATGGGCAGCGCACGTCCTCAGTCTTGCCGTGGATCTGATCTGCGTAGTTCACCGCAGAACCACGCTCCGCGCTACCATGGCGGAAGTTACGCGGATGCGTGGGGAGAGCGTATCTTGGGGCTCTTTTTCATCCAACGCAGCTCGAACAAAAGGGCCTGCGGGCATGCCATGAATTGATGGCGTCCGAATCACTCAAGATCCAGAGCAACAGCGAGGCGCCAGCATTTTTGGATCCTGGGCTTCTATCGTCGGCCCGCGTGGCCTCCCGGCCAGTGGCAGCGGGGCTCCCCGGGCTTCGGGGGAGAACCACGACGCAGGTCCCACCCTTCAGCCACGCGCGCAAGGGCGTGTAGAGGAGGGGTGAAGCCTCTTAGAAGCACCCCTGCTTCTTAGAAGGCGCGGGTTGCATTTGTTAATGTAGTGGAAGGCGCGGGCCTTATCTATAGATGTAGGGCTGGCGCCTTCTGAGGAGCAGCCTCCTTCTAAGTAGCCTTCCCCTCTCCCCCTACCCCCCTTTGTGCGCGCCGCCAAGTCTCCTTCCATGCTCCCCAGGTCTCGGAGGAGAACAGCCACAGAGCCCCGCCATACAGGTCCGCTTCCTCAGGGCTCGGAGGAAGAAGCGGCCTTACGGTCAAGACGGTGAAATAGGGACCACGTTGGGCTCAGGAGGGCCTCTGATTCACGGGCCGTTCTTTAGATATAGGTCGGGAAACCGGTTCGCGGCCGAGGCTCGCCGTGGCCAAAAATGCACCTTCTCTCCTCATCATACTGCGTTCCGTATGGCGCGATGACCGTCGAGGTGCCTCGACCCTTCGAACCTCCATTCTCGACCCTGCATCCTCGACCCCTCGAACCTCGATCCGTCGAACCTCCACCCTCGAGCCTCGACCCCTGCGAGCGTCGAGGCTCGAGGATGGAGGCCCAGCGCCGACCCAAGACATCCGCGCGGAGCTCCAACAGCTCAGGCTGCTGGCACTGCCCCCTCCGCTGAGACGGGAGGGGAGGCGGCGGTTCGAAGCGCACAGGCTGCTCGGCTCCCAGGGTCGCGCAGCGCCCCGCGCCCCTGTGCCCGTTCGAGGCCCCGCGGGCCCCGCCGGCCGCGCCCCGCCCGCTCCTTCCGCGGGCGCCCCGCCGCGCAGGGACACGCCGGCAGGTTCGCGCCGCGCTGGCGTGACGCGGCGGCTCCAGCCGTGCACGAGGCAACTTCAGAGAGGGCCCTCCTGGGATCGGCGGCGAGCGAGAGGGGGAGGAGGGAAAAGGAGGGGAGAAGGCCTTCTCAGGATGTTCGGAGGTCCCCCGGCCTTCTGAGAAGTTTTCCGAGCCTTCCCCGAAGACACAGAAAACTTGTTGTTGTTGTTGTTGTTGTTGTTGTTGTTGTTGTTGTTGTTGTTGTTGTTGTTGTTGTTGTTGTTGTTGTTGTTGTTGTTGTTGTTGTTGTTGTTGTTCTTCTTCTTCTTCTTCTTCTTCTTCTTCTTCTTCTTCTTCTTCTTCTTCTCACGTCCCCCCTTGCCCGCCGCTGATTGGAGCCGACTGGGGGCCTTCGGTGGCCCAGCACTGATGCCGGCCAGCACGAAGGGCGGCCAGTTTCGAGGTTCTGGGTTCGGGGAGGAGTCTGGCTTCTTGTTCGGCCTCGTAGGGGCCGTGTTGGGGCCCCAGGGCTGTCAAAGACGAGTCCCGGGTGAGCAAGTGCACCAGATGGACCCGGGGAGGGGTCCAGGGGACAGATTTCGAGCAGATTCGGTTTCACCCCCCCTTCGTGACCGATTCTCTCGGGGCCCGAAGCAGCCCAGATCCCCCGGCCGCCTCCAACTCCGAAGCTTTGCCGAGGCGGCTTGAGGCGACAAAGCCTCGGGAGCAACTTTCCTCTTGACGTTTCGAGGTGCGTTTCGCCTCCGATGGCCTCGCTGGAGGCCTCTTTGGGCGTCCCTTGAGATCTCCTGGGGCTACGCCTTCGGTGCATCTCGCCTTCGGTGTATCTCGCGTTCGGCGGAAGCCGGTGGAAGGCTGGCGGGACGAGAACGCCGGGTCTGCAGGCGGAAGGCGGCGGAAGCACAAGGGAGACGTCCACATTTTTGAGTTGAGGGCCCCCAGAGTCGGCCACACCTGCACCGATCCTGGCCACGCCTGTCCCGGGCCGAGGGCATCGGTGCACGAGCACGTGCCCTCCTGGTCAGACCATATGAGGCGTTCCAGAAAGGGCCCCGCTTCGAGGATCGAGGGAGCTGCCATCTCTTCCTCGGCGGGATGCGGCGGGATGTCGGCGGAAGCGGGCGGAAGTAGAACGAGGGCGGCTCCGCTGGCGGAAGCTGGCGGAAGGCCAGCTGGAGCCGGCGGAAGCAAAAGCCGACCTCCCGAGAGATGACAACAGCAGAGTTGGAGGAGGAGGAGGAGGAGATGGAGGAGGAGGAGGAGGAGGAGGAGGAGGAGGAGGAGGTGGAGGAGGAGGAGGAGGAGGAGGAGGACGGGGCCAGGATTTCCAGAACCCGCCCTTGTGGTCCCGCAGGCACCGATCTCTGGGCCCAGGGTGGCCCCCTGCAGGGGCCCCTGCACGCGGGCGCTCCGTGGACACCCTGCGGAGCTGCGGGCCTCCCTGCGAGCTTCTGCGCCGCGCCGACGCGGCGGCGACCCCGGCGCAGGTGCTCGAGGCTGAACGCCGGCGGCGGCGCCAGATCGGCCGACGTCGAACGGTCCGCGCTGTCGGAGCGCCGCGGTCGCTCGAGGAAGAGGGGTCCTCGGACGAGGCAAGGAGAAGGAGCCGCAGAACGGGGCCAGGACGAGGATAGGTCCCTTCCAGAGCGTTCCAGAACGCTCTGAGAAGGCCGCGGCGCCCGAGATATCCTCCAGAACCGCCAGATCTCTGAGATTCTATCCTCACCCAGAATTATCTTCGTCCTGGCTTCGTCTTAGATCCGCGCTGTGTCGGAGGGCAGCGCCGACGTCGTCGCGACGTGGATCTGGCGGAGGCGGCCGGGCACGCCATGCCAGAGTTGCCGAGGCTCCCCGAGATGATTCGGTCCCTCAGCGCGTGCGAGGGCGCCTTGGAGGAACGTCTGAGGTCGACGACGACGGCGGCGACAACGGCGATGACGACGGCGACGACGGCGACGACGACGGCGACGACGACGTTGACAACGACGACGACGACGATGGCGGCGGCGACGACGGCGACGACGGCGGCGACGACGACGACGACGACGACGGCGACGACGGCGACGACGATGGCGACGACGACGGCGACGACGACGGCAACAGCGGCGACGAAAGGAGAAGGAGAAGGAGAGACCGCTACAGGCTTAGTACCTGGAGCCCGCACAACGTCAAAAGGAGGAGGATGACGACGACGACGACGAAACAGCTGCGAGGACGAGGAGGAGGATGTTGTATTCATGCTGGTGGGAGGTTGTTTGGGGAGGGGATGTTGGGGAGGTGGGTTGCGAGCCCGATATGCCACACTTTAACCTCAGGCCGACCTGCATTGACATAATCAGCCTAACAGGAAGGGTACAGCCCATCGTGTAAGCGCCTCGCCAAGGCACACGTATTCCCCACCTCAGCCGAGCAGCCCAGCATAATGATTAGACCTGCGCCAGCAAAATCCTTAGGCCAGCCATTCACTTGGGCCAGCCTGCAGACGACGGGAACCAGAACAACTACCAGCCAGCGTCTTGCGTAAGCGACTGCTATCTTTTTGGCTGGTTTAGTGCCACATCACAGTCTGTCCGTACTGATAGTGGTCGGGATGGTAATGATTGGTGGGGGGAGAGGGGTGACTACCAGCAGCGTTACCTTTTGTTATATGCCCGCCTGCTCTCTTTTTTGCTGCGGTTGCAACACGAGGCAGGCCGCCTTTCTGTTGCACGTGTATTTCGCTCCCTTTATCGTTTGGCTCCGTTCCTCGGCTATTACGGCGATTTGTTACTTCGGATGTCAGTTTCTTCTTCTTATTATTCTTCTTATTCTTATTGTTATTCTTATTATTATTCTTCTTCTTCTTCTTATTATTATTCTTCTTCTCTCTCTCTCTCTGAGGTACTGCGTGGCGAGCGTATACTCCGAGCTCTGGGCTTACTTCTCTTTTGTGTCTTTCATGCCAATTTTGTTTTCACCTCACATTTGCCCCGCATAATTTGTTGCACACGTTGCCTGCAAGTCGGCACTGCATAGCTTTGATGCATGCACGAACGCTACAGGCTTTCCGCGCAACGTTATATATGTAAGAAAAAATGGGGAGGAGGAGGACGGCGTCGACAGCGGCGGCGGCGGGGGCGCCATGGAGGACCAGCTGGAGGCAGCCTCGCCGCCGCACGAGTGGCAGCACCCGCCCTCCTTCCTGTGCCCGATCTCGCAGCAGTGCATGCACGACCCCGTGGTGCTCTCGGACGGGCACACGTACGAGAGACAGGCGGGCGTTGTTTTTTCCCAGGCGGTAACGCGCGTTACCGGGGGCGGGTGGGGGGGAGAGCGGCGGCCTGCAGCGTCATATTTCGCGCCGGCGCCGCTTGGGATTGTTTCGGAATGGCCAAAGACAGCTCGGAAGTCAGCAACGCATCGTGACGTTACATCGCCTCGGGGTGGAGGGGGTGGGGCGCGGCCAGGGCCAGTAACGGCCGCTATCGCGAAAAATAAAGATCGCCCTCCAGGCAGGCGTTTTCTGCTCGAAGGTGTTGGAAGAATTGTCGTTGTTGTTTTCTGGTGGTCTCTCGTGTTTTCTATCGCCTCCAGAGGTTATCCGGCAGCTGCGCCTCGCAGGCGTCCAGGGGGGGGTGGAGCGAGCCGTCCCGAGCGGCGGTTGAACGAGCTAACGAACTAAACATGGCGGGAAAGCCTCTCCGCATCCTATAGTCCGTTTCCTTCGTTGCCAATCCGACATCCGGGTGTGTTTTGTCCGGTTGTTGCGCGCTGTCTTTCTCCCTCTCTCTCTCTCTCTCTCCCTTTCTCGTCGCCGTCGTCGTCCTTGTCTTCCTCCTCCCTGGCACTGAAGCGTTTTATGGACTAGTGCGTGTCGCCCGATGTGCCGCGCCAGGCCCTCGCGCTGTGCACAGTGACGATGGGATCGACACTGTGTTTGCTGCGCCCTCTCCTCGCGCCTCCTCCTTTCCCTTCCCAAGCTAGCGCTAAAAGCATGTGGGGAAACCATTGCGGGGGAGGCGCTGGAAAAGGAGGAGGAGGAGGAGGAGGAGGAGGAGGAGGAGGAGGAGGAGGAGGGGGAGGAGGAGGAGGAGGAGGAGGAGGAGGGGCAACGTTCGACTTCTGGGAACCTGCTGCCGCTCGCCCTCCCGAGCCTCCCATGGGACATCCTTGCGGCCGCGGGCGGGCGCAGCTCGAGAGACTGGCCGCCATGGCGCCTCGCCCAGGTCCGGTCTTTTGCGCGTGCGCCTCCTCCTCCATTTCCTCTCTCTCCTCTCTCTCCTCTCTCTCCTCTCTCTCCTCTCTCTCTCTCTCTCCTCCTCCTCCTCCTCCTTCTCCTCCTCCTCCTTCTCCGTAGCCATTTTGGCTCAAGGTTACAATGTTGGCTGGCACAGCGCCAGCAGGCTTTCCATGGATACCGCTGGTCCGCGGCCAGCTCTGGAGTTTCTTTTGGATCCTCCGTTTACATACTCACGCGGGATCTTCCCGAGGTGCCGCGGCCTCTCTGCGCATTCGCCCGCCTGCTGAAGTGCAAGAAGAAGGATTGTCCGCTTGCCCGAGCACGACAGAGACTGCTCTCCTCGAGGTGGTAGAGATCCCTGGCATGAGGCAGCTATTGGCAAAAAACTGGACTCCATCAGTCCCGAGTTGGAACAGCTCCTCTCCGCCCAGGTCGCTGCCGCCTCAGCCAATTTCCAAGCTACTGCTGAGAGAGTTACGGCCGATGCTCAAGCAGCCTTCATCGCCCAAGTTCAAGGAGTTGCAGGTGCAGTCGCAGCCAGACAAGACGCTTGTGAAAATGACATTGCTGAGCTCAAACGCAGGGTGGCCAACGCTGAAGATGCACGCCAAACATTCAACACATCGGTCGAAGAGATCAAGTCCACGCTCGCCATCGCCGAGGCCAAGGTGCCCAGCCTGGACATCGCCAACACCGGAGATTGGAATCGACCTGGACACATTGGTACATGGTGGTGCGGGTCTACGGTCGACATCACCAAGGATCAACTACAACAAGCACGCACTCCATGGTTTAAAGCGGTTGGGCTGGATCTGGCAAGCGCGCGCTTCAACAGCGCTGCCCCTGGCAAGCGAGTTTCTATCACTCTCATGGGAGACGACACCGTGGTTCGACCTCGTGCTCAAGCTCTTCACAACCATCTTCGAATCGGACGAGACCGGCGGGAATTTGTCATCTCTAGTGATAGCATCGACCACGACCTCGTCGCCAGCGCAGACAAAGGCCCCAAGCTGGTACGACAAGAAGTGCAACTCAAGCGTCTCGCCAAGCTCACAGCCACCGCCTTCCCCGCGCTCGACATCCGCACGCACAGGGCGGACGCATTCCTTCCAGTCGACAACGAGCCTATCGTCCGCATTTGCGTGAGCAACTCACCAGCGGAGCCGACACGAGTCCAATGGTCTGACGCAGCACTTCGGCATGGAGCTTCTGCGCACCACCGCCATGACCTGGGCGCGGCCCTCGCCAGCTCTTAGCACTCGCTGGACGCCGTGGACGCACGCAGACTCGAATGCGGACTCCTCTATTGTCAGCTGGAACGCACAGGCACTCTTGCATTCCGACCCCCGCTGAAGAGACATCAAGCGGGAGATCCTGGTGCCGTACCCCAAGAAGCTCTCCACCACTGCTCTGCAGGAGACGCATGGGACTAGGACCTCCCTGCACCATATGGCCAACTCCACGGCGATCAAGTACCAGGCGTACCACACCCCTATTCCTGGCAACCTCGCCGCGGGTGGCATTGCCTGTCTCGTGCCCCTGTGCCTCCCCAAGCCTGGAGACATCGACCAGACTGCCGAGCCTCACGTGCAGTTCTCCGCTATTGTTCCTGGCAGTGCTGCTCTCCTTAGTATCACCGATGTCACGAATCAGTACACTCATATCTATTTGAACGTTCACAATCACGACCTTTCTTCCGCTGACCGCGCTGCCATCGAGCACGCTTGCGCATCCGCGAACAACAAGGCGCTGGCCGACCCCGACCACATACATGTCTTCATGTTCGGGGACTTCAATATCGCTGAGCACCCAGCGCACAGCCTCACTCGACCTACTGACATACATGCGACTGGGCGATATCAGTATCAGCCTATCTTTTGGAAACAGCTTTTCCGCCTGCTCACCGAGATTACCGCCACGTCTACCACCCACCGCTGTGCAGCGAGCTCCACGGAGTCTTGCATTGATCGTTTCTTCACGTCTCTCGCCGCCCACAATATCCCGCTGATCGAGACCACCATGGCGATTGATGACTCACCTCTGGAAAGCATTGGCAGCCCAGCCAGCGACCACGAGTTCATGCATGTTCGAATCCGACATCGTGCGCAACGCCCACATGCGGAACGAGGCATCCCCGCTTATCTCTTCCAGTCAAAATTCTACGCGGGCGCCATCGAGCACCTGTCCCAGAACGCAGACTACGACAACCTCGCCCCGATCGGCAAGTGGAAAGCCCCCAGGGAGAACATGACCAAAGCTGCCCCTCAAGCTCGCGACGCACTCGCGCGTCTTCATCCTGATATCCTCCAAACCGACCACAACGCCATCTCCAAGGGGGTCAACTCCATGACCCTGCGCAGTATTGCCCGAGCGGCGTGGTATCAAGACGCCAAACTCGCCCGCATCCTTATCTACAAATCGACACTTGGCGCGAAGTACCTCCAGATGAACGCGACCCCCAGCGCCCCCGCATTGCTACTCTGTCATCGCGCTGAAGGGCTCTGCGGTCTTCGCGACTGGGCGCCGCCGCCACCCACGCTGCAGCTTCCGATGAGCGACGTGCTCAGGCCGCCGCCGCTGCTCGCCAAGCTTTTCAAGAGCAGCAGCAGCTACGAGGCGATAGGCGGCGGAAACGAGTCAACACGGAGCGCGGGAAATGGGGGCTTTGGGAGCATTTTTTTCGAAGCGCCTGGTGCTCGCTGGCATCCGAGTGCCCCGCGGCGTGTCCCACTCGCTGTTCAAAGGCCCGATTGACATGCACTCCGCCACTCGAGCCCGCTGGATGCCGACCTTCACCGACAACCCGTAAACACCAACGCCATGAATTCTTACGTTGGCCCGGCCTTCCCCACATGCCGACCTTCGACGCATCGATCCCCGACGAGCACGACCTCTATCTGGCAGCGAAGAACGCCTCAGATTCCGCACCTGGGCCTGACGGCCTTTCTTGCCGCGCCTGGCTCGCCACTCCCAACAGTTTCTCCATCCTCGCCGAGCTCGCCACTCATCTGTCCAATGGCCCCGCTATCCCGCGCGCGCCGAAACACGCCGCGATGGCAATGCTGCCGGAAGGAGGCGAATCTGCTGGGCAATCAGAGTGCACTCGCGAGCCTGGACAGTTGCGCCCCCTCGCCATGAAGAGCGCGGATGTGAAGATCATCGCCTCCGCCACGAACAGAAAGCTCAAGCCGCTGATGCAAAATATGTCGCCCGTCCAACATGGTTTTGTCCCTGGGCGGCAGTTTTTGGACAACGTTGCCGAGGTCGACGCATACAGCCGCAAGTATAGCACCCATCCTGATGCAACCGTGCTTCCTGAGCATGGACATCGCGGCCGCCTTCCCGAGCCTCTCACACACCTGGATGCGGGATGTCCTACAGCCATGGGGCATGCACGGCCGCGTATCCACCCTGATACAGGCGCTGTACCACATGCCGATCGCGTTGCTCGAAATGGGAGGCACGCGCCGACCGTTCTTTATTGCGTCAAGCGGGGTCGCACACGGCTGCCCCCTCAGTGGCGCCATCTGGGCATTGATCTTCGACCCTCCACTGACCGGCATCAACGACTACTTCAAGACAGTCCAAAGGGGGATTGCCACGGCGTGCGCTGATGATCTAGGATGCGTTCTTGCATGCCTTCGTGACATTGAAGGATTGCGACCTCACGTGTTTGCGGTTGCCCAATATGCTGGCCTGCACCTTCAAGCACGCAAATGCGTCTTGGCACCCGTCTGGAACATTGCCTCGTCCGGCCTGATCAACAGCATCAAAGACACTCGCTCACATTCACGCCGACAGGGCCCTCTTCAAGATCGAGTCTTCCGCCAATTACCTCGGCGTGTTCATGGGTTCAGGTGCTGACGAACGTACTCAATGGTCTGGCCCTGCCGCCAAGTGGCTTTACCGTGCCCAGAGGTCCTTGGCGAATCTCACGCACTGATCCAGCATAACGTCAAATCGTACAACTCTTCCGCGCTGGCGACGCTCTCTTACGTTGGCCAACTCTTCCCTGATCCTGAACTGATACTCAG